TGTGGAAGAACTCCTTTACAGTAAGGGTGATGGAGCACTAAAAAAGTTGCCCATTGGGATTGTGGAGACTCCTTCTATAGAGGTATTCAAGACTTGTCTGGATGTCTACCTGTGCAACCTATTGGGAATCTGCTTTAGCAGGGAGTTTGGACTCAATGATCTCTGGAGTTCCTTTCCAACTCCTGTGATTCTGTGATCTTTAAAGTCCCTTGATTTTCTTAAATACACTACTTGGGAAAAGAATTTAAGCCATTCTTGCTACATGGACATTCTGCAAAGAATAGAAGGGGAATGAGTCTTTAACTCAGACATCCAGGCATTTTTTGGAAACTGATAGGCATTAGAGCTTACTGTATATTTTATGATTGTGTTTAACTTTCAAGAACATTTAGCTACTAGACTCTTTAAGAGAAGTAATAAATTTAGATACACGCACACACACACACACACACACAAAAAAAGGAAAGTGTTGAAATTAGAAAATGTGACTCAAAAATAAGCTATGGGAAAAAAATATGTGCCCTGAAATAATAAAATTTTAGTGTTCATCTTTTTGAAGACAGAACTAAATTTGAGTGCTTGCTCTGTATTGTTTATGAGGAGACCGGATGTTTAGCATAGTCTAACCATCAGTTAGCGGCTGTGTCTGGTGTTTGTTGTCCGTTTTTCACCGGAGAGGTCATGTCATACCTGCTCTGTTTTATATACAAAATTATATCAACCAGAAAAACATTACTGACTAACTTGGACACATGGGAGTATAAAAAGTTTTTGCTTGAGGGTGTCCAAATGTACAATTGGAGCTTTTGGAAATCCCAAAATTTTTCACGAAGCTCAACTTTAGAGAAAAAAGAATAAAAGAATGACTGGGAGATCAAGTGAGCTAGCAGCTAGGATCCTACTTTTAATATATTTGCATATGGATATTACTATTGAAAGTATTCAGTATTAATCACATTGTGCTGTTTTCTACAGTCAGGTAAGAAACCTCCCCCTTGTACCATCCTCCGTATTTTCACCACATAATGAACAGCTGAGGAATTCCAGTTATATGTATACATTTCTTAGCTGTTTTATGTACCATGTTTTTCTGGTGAATGTTTATTTAGAACACTAATCACAGATATAATATTGTATGTCTAGGTCCACTTAATGTACTGAATGTATATTGAGCAGGGAGATGACACCTTGCATGGAAAGAAGGGAGTCTCCATGAATAGAATATTTGTAGAAAGACTCAAACATCTGCAAGAAGTTTACAGGTTATCTTTATGATTTTGAAATATTATTATTAATAATCAAATTTGTATAGTATTATGATTTTTCAGTTTTATATTTGTGTTGATGACAAATCTGTGAAGGACAAAGATGAGTTTGATAGACTCTATTTTATGTACCTCATCAGTGACATCCTTGGAGTGACTCATCAAAGGCAAGAGAGTGAGACAAAGACAAATTTTCTATTTTAACCCAGAATCACAGTATGACCATTTTGCCTTCAGGTACCAATTACATCCAGCAAGCAGTAGTAAAAACATTATCTTTCAATTCACGTGGTTTGAGAACTTCATAAACTCTGCTATCCTACAGTGTCAGGACCATTTAGATGAAATCGCTAGATGCATAATTAAGTAAGAAATATTCAGGAACCAGTGTATTCTCTTTGCTTTTATTTTCTGTTGTTTGTATATTATCACTTCAATGGTTTTATTTCATGTTAATCTGGAGTTCTCAATCATTCTTCTTCAGTGATCTCTTGGGTCTTCCTAAGATACTATTGGCAGATGAAGAACCTCTTTTTTTGTTTTTGTCTTTGCATTTTCTAGAACTGCATTGCTCTTTGTGTCTTAGTGTTATACTTTACTTTTCTGCTGACTTTAATAGGGCGCTCCCTAGTTTCTCACTAGTTTCGTGAATTATGATTGATATTGGGCTATTTTAACCTTTCTGATTTAGAACACAGGAAAAATGCTATGAACTGTGAGTCTACTTATTATGAATGTTGAAATATTGTTTAGTTTGTACTGCTGTCAGCTTAAAATGCAGTAATTGTTAAATGCGTAACGTTATTCAATTAGCTTACACTTTAAGTAATAGCACAATACCAAACTGTGCATCTAACATTTCTTATTTCAGGAAATAGTGATGTGGTTTTATGCATCTGAAAAGAAAATGATTCAGCCTAAGCCAATTAAGTTTTGTCTTTTCAGGTTTCCTTAAAATCCAATTTTATAGATCTGATTTAAACAAAATCCAATTTAGAGCATTGGTTGTCTTGAAAACTGGAAAAAGAATGTGGATTGGTTAAGCAAATAGACTTTCTAATTTTCATATTGATTCTTAGCCATTGATAATCTAATCTGAAAACTCAGTGTCCTTTTTGTACCTCATACTGTGTGAGATACAGACCAAGAATTAACTTTGAGAGGATATTATATTATACAGAACGGTTTCTTAATAAGATGAAAATTTATACTCACATTTTGACATTTTGTAAAGTGCTAAACAAAGAATGCTATTTCTCCTTATTAGGATTATTGTAACAGCTCTTCAGTTTTCAAAAGATAGTCCACTAATTGGAATATATTTTTTTATGTATATTTTGATACACAATGTTCTGGCTTACGACTGTTTTTTTTTTGTTTTTTTTTTGTTTTTTTTATTAATATTTTATTTCTAGCAGGAAATTGTGGCTTAATGGAAGATTATTTACTTTATGATAAGTTACTTTCCTTGGAATTTTTGTTTCTTCTATTTGTGTTGATGATGTTCATAAGTCTAATAACACGTTGTTAACTGAAGGGCTAAAAAAAAAAACCTTTGGAGAAAGTCTGCAGCAAATAACAGTTCATATTTCCTGAAGTAAGCAAATTCAGTCACTGAGAGAGAGGGAACTCTGATGTCCACAAAGAAGAGAAGCATCCTCTCCTGCTGGGCTGTACCTGTGTGCTGAATGCAAGAAATGTTGGGTCTCTAGAGGAGGAGTTGCCGGGAAGGTGGCATGCCAGCACTTCTAGCTGCTGTGTGTGAACCATTTCCTGACTTAGGAGGCATTGGAGAGAATCAGGCACTAGATAGCAGTAAAGCACTAGTAAAAACTGGCATGGAGTAAGGAGAACATAATTCTTTACGAAACACTGTGATAAATCTACTGTTAATCCTCACATTCCTCTATGTTGTTATATTGAAATGTGATACAACATTTTGTGTTTTGATGTAGAAGGAAAGACTAAACTAACATCAAAATAACCGTATAAATCTATGCCTCAAAGACATTAGTATCAACATGCATGTAATCATTATTTCCATTCTTACATACATACATATATATGTGTATGTATGTGCCATACTTTTTCTGTTTTTATCAAAACAGTAGAAACTTGAGATATTTTTGGGGCTGGTTTGTGTACGTAATGAACTCTAGTCTGCCCTCAGCACCAAAGAATGCACATTCTCTCTCATCTACAAGATACCCAGCTGCTACAAACTTGATTTTTGCTAATTGGAGTTACTGAGTACACATTTGTGTTGAAGACTGTCACTTACACTAATTGTCTAATCAGTGCATTTCAGATATTGAGCTATATGTAACGTGGGATGCCACATTTGACATAAGCAATCAGACCATGAAAATGTTACACTTTTAATATCATTCTTATTAGCATAATTCTTGTGGCCCAGCAGTTCTTACACTCCTAAGTCACTTACATGGATTTATTTTTCATATTGTTTTACCGGATAATCCAGTCATCCCAATTTCTGCTGAAAAATGATTAGGCTACTGGAATAGAGAAATACAAAGAAGATACAGAGTTCTTAAAGAAGAAGGGAAAACAATCCTATGCCATCTGTAATATTTACATTGCATTGCTTTGTGAAAAAAATGTAGAGTTAGCCTCAGAAAATGCTGTGATTGAGGGAAGAGATGAAACATTTACTGAAGGTATGCTGATTATCTGATGCTGGTGTAGGGTTATTTAAATGAAAATGGGAGAATGCATTATGTACATGAAGGCTACATGATCAATATCTAACCATATACATCTAATTTAAGGCATGTATTTATGTTTTTGTGGTTTTTGTTAAATGATCTCAACATTGACATATTTCTGAAGAGTCATTGTGGACTGTATTACTTAAAATTTGCCTTGCCTGTGATCGAGGAGAGAATTTTATGCCACCTCTGGCAAAATATACTGTTTTGTAAAAGTGTATTCTTCATAAAAGATGCCATGCCGATCTGTGAGCTGCATGGTAATACAAACATATTTAAACAAAACTGTCAAATCCTAAAAAGAGATTTCTTTCCACTGAACAAAAAAGGTATTTCTCCTGGTGTTTATTTGAATATTCTATTTTATGTGGAACCACTGGGACAGACTCTGGGGATTCAGGGTCATATTTTAACTTCAATGCAGTATTCTGGTGTGACTTCATGTTTATTTCTTATTTGTAATGCTATGGCAATATTTGTTTTCTGTCACCTTTAATCTATTTGTCTTTATGCAATATACAGTTTTCAAGGCTACTTCTTATTTTATGTTTATAAAATGTACAACTGAGCCCTGATCATGCTTGGGATGTCTAGCTGCCACCCCTTTTTCCTAATTTACTTCTTACTCTATTCCCTCCCTAATGCCTTTGTATGTGATTTCGCTTCTACAAGTCACTCATCAAAATTCTGGTAAAAAGGATAAAGGAAAAACAATATGAGAAAAAAGAAGTAACAAATCCGATACAGAGAATCATGGATGAATAATTCGCTTCATTTTATATTCACAGTTTGAGCAGGAAGAAGATTAAAGAGACTGTAGCTTAAAAGATTTTTAATACATATTTTTTTATTCCATTTGCCTGAAGTACCTGTATGTTTGCAGTGGATAAAGATGTTTTACTTTCCTTTAGCATATTTTTAACTGAAGCATGTTCTCACTATGCAATTCTATGCCTTTTGGCATCAACCCAATAGCAGATATCTAAAAAAAAATTTTTTTTTTCAGCTATTCAGTGTTGCAAGGAAGCAGCAGATCCATTCCACTTTGGAGATGATGATACTGATTAGGCTATTGCTGGTAGGTACTGTGATTTTTATGAAAGTCTTAATAGCAAATGGATGTAGCAGTTTGTTGTGTCTAAGTATTGCAACAAGGTCCTGGCCCAGGCTTATTCATTTCTGTACCACTGAGTTGTCTGTGGTGGTTTTTTTTTTTTTTTTTTTTCATATTTCTGAAGCTGATTCATCTCTTGGAATGATATCTTGTATCTTTTTCATAGGGCCCCATTGGTGTCTTGGGTCATGATTCAGAGATAGCTTGCAAATTTTTCTAATACTCTGTGTTTTGTAACAAGAGACACCTTTTATTTATTTATTTGTTTATTTTTCTGTCAAACTTTGCATAATTATTGAGTATAAAGAATAATGGTGGAAAGCAAAGAGTATCCGTTTGTGGTACAGTGCTGTGGGAGCTGAGTCAAAGGTTGTCAACACAGGGAAAAGAGACAGCACCTCTTTTTTTTTTTGCATATAGAGCAGGTTTTTGTGTTCCTACACACATAACTAGACTGATCTTTGTATTTACCTTTTTATTTTTTCTAATGAAATCATGTGAACCAAGTGGAGATCCTGAACTCATAATTCAGCATGTAATTTGTACCTACTTTATCTAACATCTGGTAGACTGTATAAAACCATAGAGTTTGTCCTGACAGCTTCTGATTTGGAGCAGTTCAAAAGCTATCAGAAGAAGCCATTTCTTTCTAAATATTAGTTTTAAGAGAAACCAAGTGTGCTTTTTAGGAACTTTGTCAATGTTATTAATTTTTCAGTAGATCTTTTAGTAGATTCTGGGGTGCATTAAAAGAAGTGTGGCCAGCAGGTCAAAGGAGATGATCATCTCCCTCTACTCTGCCCTAGTCAGGCCTCACTGGAGTACTGTATCCAGTTCTGGGCATTTCCATACAAAAAAGACAGAGATTTCCTGGAAAAAATCTAGCAGAGGGTCACAGAGATAAAGGGCCTGGAGCACCTCTTCTGTGAAGAAAGGCTGGGTGACTTGTGTTTGTTCAGCCTTGAGAAAAGAAGGCTGAGAGGGCATCCTATTAATGTTTATAAATATTTAAAATATAGGAGAGAAAGGGAAAGAGGATGGCCACGTCCAGTGGTCTGTAGGGACAGGTCAAGGGCAAATAGCCATAAACTGGAGCATAGGAAGTTTTGCACCAATATGTGAAATAAGTTTACGGTGAGGATGACAGAGCATTGGAACAGGCTGCCCACAAATGTGGAGTCTCCTTCTCTGGAGATATTCAAGGCCACCCTGGATGCCTACCTGCACAGCCTGCTGTAGGGAGTCTGCTTTGCGGGGGGGTTGGACTTGATCTCTGGGGGTCCCTTCCAACCCCTACAATTCTGTGATTCTGTGATCCTTAATGTAAATTTCCTACACATCATCATTTATTGCCAGTCAGCTTTAATAATAAAGCCAAATATTACTTAAAATTCTATTTTGGGGATTTATCTTTGTGGTAATACTGAATACCCTCACATAAAAACTTGAATAAAATTATAATATTTTGCTAATGTAAAATATATCTCAACATTTATGAATAAATTACAGATAAACAAGTATTAAAATAAATTTTAATCTAGTAATGCAATTTGATCTTCTTTCATGTGGGCTTTTCTGTCTGTCTCAAAATGAAAGAAATTGAGAATTTTCCACGTTTTATATCCGATTCTGTATAGATTCACAAGTCATTATAAAATATCTATTTATTTAGTAGGCTTGCAGATTATAAGTAACTCTTTTACAAATGGCAGCACTGTATGATAGCTTAGAGCTTCAGAAAATGAGATAAGTTGAAACACTTAAAAGCTTTACCAATTAAAGATGAATTTATTTTGGGTTGATAAAACTGATAAGTAAGTTGAAAATTCCCAGCTCTCATGGATTAATATTCCCTCTTAGTAATGGATGAAAGTGAGATTTTCTATGTGCACATGTATATAAAGATAAGAGTGCGGATAATACGTAACTAGAATAAGTTCTTCCTTTATATGTCATTTACCAAGATCCTAACTATGGCAGCTGCTCTTTTTCTTTATGAAATCATATTTGTGACATACTACTTTCACAATTTTATGCATCAGAGGAAATTATGAACCTCTAGGTACTCATTATGGTTTCTGCATCAGAATGAAGTATATTAAGGTTAATCTACTGGAAGATACATTTGTATTTAAAATACTTTTTAAAAGTGATATCTAATTACTACCCTTGTGCAGAGAAAAATCTCTGAGAAAATGCCTGTCAGGTGTTTAATAAATATATCTGTATATTCTTCTTTAGGAAGATGCTAACTGTTCTTAGGGCTTTACTGTAAAATAGTTATAATCTTTTTACTTAATTTTTAAAGGCAACATTTTCATAGAAAGATGATAAATGGTTTTGGCTGGTGGGTGGTCATTTAAAAATACTACTTCTTATGAAAAATGCATAACATTAGGAAGCAAGGAGCAAGTGGCATCTCAGTAAGGCTGCACTCAAAGCACCTACCTTGACCCAAAAGTAATGCCTCCTATTTATTTCCCCAGAAATGATGACAGATTCAAGGAGCACAGTAATATTATTTGATAAATTCTCAGCTAAAAAAACCTATTTTTCAACATGGTCACCATTATTAGTTATGCATTTTCACTAGTGATGAACAAGACTCTACATGCTCCACTCATAAAAATCTGCAGCAGTGGGTGTGATCCTTGTTGCTGTTGCAGGAAGGCACTAGCAACTTTTCAGATATGCTTAAAGAGTTCCCAGTAAATGCCAGCATGTTGCAATCAGCAGTGGGATATGGAGATTTTCCATGTTAGTAATGAATTATTGCTGGAAATCAGATGGAAATAAAATATGCATTAAAATATTTCAGAGTTGTTGTAGGACTAGACTGTGCAAGGTAGTCTATTTTATTTAGTGTCTACTCAGTGTAGAAGTGCACCTGTTTGAGGAAGAGACAGGGGAACAATACATAACAAGTCACATGGTCAAGACTATTCATGTTAGTAACATTAACATCAACATCGAACTAAACAGTGACTTGTCCTCCAGAAAAAAGATTTGTGTCTTCCATGCTAAAGTTTTTACACTGACTCCAGCAGAAATGAGTGATTCCAGCAAAACTTTGAATTATCTTTAGAGTTTCATAGTGTGCATTGGTTCTGTTCTGTTGAATTAATTGATCTGTTCAAGACCCTTTCTGATACTGAATCTCAGAAAGACATCTCTTTTTTTCTCCTTTTATTAGGGAAATGGCCCAGTTTTCCACTTATTTTTCTTTCTTCTTCACTAGTAACAAACAATGAGAACAGAGATACCCACAAATCAATTTTGTTTTGCACTCATGCAACTCCAAGCGATGCCTTTTAGTAACACAGCTTTTAAGCCTTGATTATTTTAATATATTTTCTATTTTTTTTCTGGTGTTTGTATGAATCTACAGTATTCTTCCCTGTGACATCTGTGCTTCTATTATTATAGCCATCTTTAAAAATTTTGCTGTGCAATAACTTTCCTAAACATTTGTAATGGTTGATACTGTGTGCCGCCAAACCATTAAGTACTTGCTGAGAGGTCATTTAAAGTCTTGCTCTCTTGAAAAATGTTTAAGTAAATAACTGTCAGCTGTGATCCTTGATCTAGTGTAATTTCATCTGGTGTGTTTCATTTGTCATGTGAATTTTATGAAAGATGTAAAATGTTTGGCAGTGGTATCCCTAATAATGTTAGTTCGTGAATGCTGGCACTAATAATTTGGAGCTGATTTGTTTTCCAGCTCTTTGAAGAAACAAACTGTTCTCCGTTTTAGATGAATTTTAAACACATAATGAAGTTTGTTTGTTTGTTTCTGTTTTTCCTAAAAGAAATATCTTCTGGTTTTTCAGGCAAAACTCACAGGTAATTTCTAAGAGGGTGTTACTCCATGAATCTGATGACAGTTTTGTGAAACTGTAAACCATTAAATGTAGCCAGAAGTATATTTAACGAAATAGTTAAATTTTGTTTCTCCTCCTTTTCTGTATATTTTTCTGTGAATATGTCCAGTGTCCTTTACTTACAGATGCTTTTTACTTTTCAGTTTATGACTATGAAGCCTATTCCAGTAAAAAGATCTGCTTACATAGAAATTAACTTTTTTTTAGATGCTTTGCAGAAGAGTCTGCTGTGCAGATCCCATTACAAGATAGGAAGAGTAGCTGTGCAACCGCAAGTTCCATGAGCCAGCAAATGTGCAGATTACTAGCCTAAAGTGATCTTGGCATGTGTATAAATCTAGTAAACTGCTTACTACCAAACTTCACAAACTACTGTACATTCCTAGCTTTATTTTCAAAGCAAGCAAAAGAATGGCTAATTTTTTACTCTGACTATAGAGAAAGAATAAAAAAAAAAAAAAGGGAGTAGGCTTAATTAGATCACACCTTTGTTCATTTAATTCACATGTGAGCTGCCTGACTTGGTCCCATTGCCCTGTACACTGCAGAGCCTTGTTCTCTCTGCAGTTCTTTTGGTAAAAGATAACTTTGATCTCACTCTCACTACTTTCAATCTGTCATTGAAACTATCCATTTCCTTCCAGAATGTTAAGAAGCCTGTGGTAAGATGACACTTTTTTATGTCTTTCCAGTCCTAAATGTCTCTCATTTACTTTCATAAATGCTGTCTTTGTGAAGAGTCACTTCTCAATCACTGATCAGAGAAGTAAAATCCTTTCAGTGGAGCAACTTAAATTTTACTGTCTTTTTCTTACTGTCATGGCCTGAGTTCAAGGGGAACACGTTGGATCGTCTGAGCTGAGAGATTAGCTTTTTGAGGGAGAAAATAGTATGAGAAGCAGCATGACTACAAGTTGGTTCCTTAAGGTGAAATGTAGTTTAGATGTGGATTCTTCCTGTTTTTTTTTTTTTTTTTTTTTTCTGATAGTTACTAATGAAGACTAATCCTTGTAGAAATTGTCTGTACAGAAACATGAGAAGATTGTTCTTGAGTTTGTTCTCAAATTGCCCCAGGTTCCCTTCCTAGTGTTTGATAACTGATGGATAAGGTGGTATTTCAAGCAGTTTTAGCCTTGCTTGTGAGAATTTCTTTGGTACTTCTACAGAGAAAAATCCTGAACTAAAGAAAAATCTTACCTACCAAAACGCTACTATTATCTTGACTGGCTCTGTCTCAGCTGGCTGTGCTCTTTATTGGTTTCTTTGTCTTAGTGAAGTGGTGGCATATGCATACTTTTTTTTTTTTTTTTTTAATCTCAGTTTGAGTGCACTGACTAGTCATAACGCTGTTGAAGACTTCTAAGTTACAACCCATACAGCTAACGTGTGCTGTGTAACAGAGTGCAACAAATGTGTAGTATACGTTTTTTCTTGCAGTTTTACTTGAGAGGGAGGTTCCCTTTTTGTTCCAATAACTTCCCTGCCTATTTGTTTGATTTGGGATATGAAAAACTGAGATGAGGAGAGAGATGTGTGTGTTTAAAGAATAAATAAATAAATGTAGGGATGAGGTAGAGTTTGTTGTGAAGTGCTAGGACTTCAGACAAATCTTCAGGCTTGAAATATGTCTACCTAAAATGTTTGGAGAAACTTTCCTACTTGACTGAGAATTCCCTCAATCTTAAGTTTTTGTTTTTATGCACTTTAACTTCTTTCATATATGCCAGAAGTAGTAGAAGTCTGAGTGACTGTGCAAAGTCAGTGCGCAAATTATTTTAATTCACGATTCTTAAGTTGTCTGTTTGATTCAATTTAAGTATGTGCTCTGACCTCCTGACAAAGTCTGGGAAGTTCGGATGTACTTGATTCTGTCTCTGGGAAACTGTGGAGTGGATGAAATTATTTCATAATTGCTTTCCTGATTGGTACATGAAGTGTTAAATTAAGAACACAAAAATAATCTTTTTTGGAATCTTAAGATGTTTTTTTGTTTGTGCGTGTGCACATACATTCATGCGTTCTTTCACGCGAGTTAGAATTTGGAGAAAATCTGGAAGATTATATTAACTTTTATGTTTCTATAGTAAAGAACTGTGACACTCACATGCTTGTCACTTGTTGGGTAACCTAAGAAAGTGATCATCTTAAGCCTCAGTTTAATGTTTAATTAGAGTTAAGCTTGGGCATCAAAAAAAAGAACTGAATTCTAAATAATAGCTAGACCACAGATATGCATAAAGTAATTGTAAGTTCTGGAGCTATTCACTAGTGTTGCAACATTCTTCTCACTTTCTGGAACAAGTCAGTTAAAGAAATGCAGTGGTATTAACACCATGACAAATTTATAGTTGTCTTCGAGGTATGTAAAAACTGCTTAGGATGCAGTTGGATAGGTTTACCGTGGTCTTGGAGATTAATACAAAAAAAAAAAAAAAAAGTACAACATTCTCTTGTCCCTAAGAAATGGATTATGCATAAAAAATGCACTGGTACTGCAACAACACATAGATCAACTGAGAGAACATGCTTTGCTGAAGTGTTGGTAAAACTGTGAATGTGGGATGATGAATTAAATAATCTTCGAAGGACAGATAAATAGTATCTGAATATGAAAAAGCAAACTGTGTGTTGCAGCCATGTACGCTGCAGCAAATGTCTGCTCTGTTTAATAAAACAGTTGACTTTTTTTTTTTTGCCACTAACAGACCATGCTAATTAAGGGTCTGATGCACCTTGTATATTGGAGTCCAAATACAGTATAATATTTTGCAGTATCAGTTACTCAAGAGTAAAGCTCAAAATTAATCTTTGGCTTTATAAAAAAAATCCATTTATTTCTGTTCCTTTTTCCACTTTGAGTAGCCTTAGTCTTTATTTGATGCTTGCCTGTTTTTCTTGTTTCTGAAATGTGCTACAGTTGCTCCAAAAGTAATGCCTCCTATTTTATTATCATGGCCTGTGGTGTCAAAGGTGGATGTTGGTGGTATGGCAGTAGAGGCTGACCTTTCCTTACCAGTCTTCCATTCCATTATGTTGCTGTCTGACAGATGGCAGCTGAGGGGCAGTCTGACAAAACGGTGTCTGACATGGAAGTGCAAATGAAGCAAAGGTATGTAACTGAATTTTTCTATGCAGAAAAAAATTGCACCTATTGACATTCACTGATGCTTGTTGTACACTTAAGGAGACCAAACAGTGATGAGAGCACAGTGAGGTGGTGCATTCCAGCGACAGTGGATCTCCTCTGTTTTTGTGGATTTTTATGAGTATAATATTCAGGTCTTGTATGTCACTTGTGTAAATGTATAGGTAAGTACTGTGACTGTGCTGAAAAGTAATGTTTTGTAGCTGATAACTTATTGAAAAGCCATATTTAAATTTTTTTTTTGATCTTTTGAAATAGACAAGGATTTTTGTTTTTAATCCTAGGAATCTTAGCTGCTTTAATTTACAGAGCTCTTTTTTAGGTTTGAATGCTCTTAATGCGCTTCAAAAGACAAGCTTGGAGATGATAATGATGATCTTTTTTTCATTCCCAGTTCTAACAGTTCAGTGGTCTGGATGTTTGCTTGGAGTGAAGGCAGGCATTCAAATCCCCTCTGTAAGTTTAGACAATATTTTTAAGCAGCTCTCCTAAATCACTGAGTGTTTATAGCAACTATAACCATTATAAGTCTTGTGATTGCTATGGGAATTTTTAGCTTCAGTGTGCAGCCAAAGGATGTCTAAGCTGTTTTACTTGCCATTTTGTATAATGGTCTTCATGCTTACTGTGAAGTAGATCTTGCTTTGTGATGCAGCTGAAGTAATGAAGACAAAAGTATTGTAAGATGTTTTTCATTTCCAGTCATAAAATATCCCAAGTTGAAAGGAACTCATAAGGATCATTGAGTCCAACTCCTGGCTACACACAGAACCACCTGAAAATCAGATCATATGACTCAGTGTTGTCTAATGCTTCTTGAACTCTGGCAAGCTTAGTACAGTGACTACTTACTTCCCTGGGGAGCCTACTCCAGGGCCCCACTGTCCTCTGTTCCAAACCTTTTCCTAATATCCAGTAAGACCCTCCCCAGTGCAGTTCCATGCTACTCCCTCAGGTCGTGTTACTGTCACCAGAGTGAAGAGATCAGCTCCTGTACTCCCTGATTGAGTAGTTTTAGGTTTTTGAGAACTCCCAGCTTTACCAAAGCAATGAATGTTTAAGATATGCGAAGTATTAAGTGGGTAAGCAGAATATTCTGTTCTAAATATGAAATATATTTTCAGGAAGTAAACAGTATGTTTTGTAGATGAAGAAAATAGTACTAAAATTTTGAATAATTGAATGTTTATTGTGAATCATTTATTAGGTCATGTGAAGGATTTGTGTGTGTAATGAAATGAATCATAATAAAGAAGTGAAACCTGATTTAGAGGTTTTTTCCCTCTAAACATTTAAGCAAGTTATTTAGATGGTGTAAATTGAGAAAGACACATAAAGCTTGCCTTTAAACCCCAGCAAAAAGAGTTCTGATTTATTACTGTCTCTAGTAGTAATAGAAGGTTTATGTAGGCATTCTGAAATGCAAGATGACAACATTTGTGTGAAAGGTGAAAAACCTGTTATGTACTAAATTGTAACCACTGGCTGTAGTATTTAAAGACCTTTTAGACAGCTATTCATTTTGTTAATGAGGTAGCCTTAAATTTTAGGCATTTGTGTTTGTAGATAGCTGATAGAATTCACGTTGATAATAATTACTGTTATTACGCTTAGCAGATGTCTGTCTGTAAATGTACTGACTGAATAGTTTATGTGAGTAGTTTGTCTGCCATCTGAAATTTTAGTAAATAAACTGCTGCACAGTGTTTGATTAACAAGGGTAGAACAAAAGATATTTTGTAGTTCTCTGAGATGGGAATGAACAGAATCTTTGACAATTCATGGGTCAAACAGAAGTGATGAATAACCTCAAGGAATTCTGGCGCTTTAGAGAAAAAGGTCTTCTACCACTGGCTTCTCTGCCCAAAATCTTCCTTCAAAACTTAAGTCTTTTATCTTTACTGAATACCTGTTGTCTTCGCTCAACAAGATCAACTATTTCCTTAATACTTGAAGACACTTATGCTCTTGCAGATAAGTCAAAATAAAATATTAAACGTCAGTCTTTGGAGATATGACTGGAAATAATGGTCTTTGCCATTACGTCATCCTTATCTATAGGAAGCAAGTACCATTTGAATAACAGTAAGTGAATGATAATGAGTTGGAAAGCGTTTGTTGTACTTTTAGCTTGTAAGACTTACATTTAAGAATATTTCCAGAAATGAGTGCTATTTTTTAATTATATAAGTCATAGTGCCGTTGTCTTACAGAGACATCAATAAATTAACAAAAAGCTCTATTTGTTGTAATTGCTTTCAGTTAGGTTTTTACTACCTTTGCCATTATTCATGTTAGTATTACTGGAAAGGGCTTTGCAATAATTACTACATCTTTCTACAAAAAGAGCAGTTGCTTTATTTACTGTTTGACAGTAAGGTCAGATAATAACAGCCAAAATAACATCCATGATTATAACAAAGCTCTCTTTCGTACAGTAATTGTGGTATTTCTGCAGAAAGAAGATGTAGTGAAGAATTTTTCTCTTGCTGTTGGAAGCATTGAAATATATGTCTAATATACAAGAGCATTTGAAAAATCTTTGAATGCAACAGTGGAACTTGCTAGATTCAGTGGAGATCGAAACCAACAGAGACAGGAAGTTTGGCATATCTTCCTAAGGTATATAAAAAAATTCATTTGATCCAAAGACTCTTACCATAAGTCATGTTTCTGTCATCTTCTTTAATATCATGATAAAAAAAGTGACCCACCAAAACAAAACAAAAATACCCAAAAGCCAAATCAAACATACCCAGTGATACAAAACGTAACAGTCTTGCACAGAGAGCTGTAGATGTTGATCAACATGCTAGCACACAGTTCAGTAGCCTAATCTACTTCGTTCAGGGATTGTTTTTTCTCTTTTCTCATTTTTTTCTTAATTTCTTCAAATAATCTCTTAATATTTCAGTGTTTATATTTAAAAGAAAATCCAACTAATCTAACTAAATTCTAACTAAAATCAAACAGTGTGTTCTAGGCAATGTTCTGGGTGCATACTAACAAACTTGTTCTTTTTCCTAGAGTTTGTAATTCTTTCAGCTGGTGCCAGGAAATCATTTTCTTTCCAAACGTTACAAACTCACTAACTTTTTGACCTTCTGAATTACATTTTGTTTTCCTTTGATCCATGACTGGAGTTGGAAGATTTGCTTACTATATTTGAGTAGAATTATGTTCTGTTTTGTGGATGGCTGCATGCTCCATCTGTTCTGAGCAATAGAATTCAGATTTTTGTGCTATTTCTTGCCACTGATAGGCCTATATTATTTCTCTCTGGTCTGTTACGCCTTCTTTCACAGTTTTTGCGAAGGACATCTTCATTTTTATTCCTTTGATTCAATGTGGCCCTCCTCTGGATGCACTCCAATAAGTCCATTTCTCTATTGTACTGAAAACTTCATATCTGAATACAGTACTCCAGGTGAGGCCTCAGGAGTGCAGAGTAGAGGGGCAGGTTCACCTCCCTTGACCTGCTGGTCATGCTACTTTTAATGCAGCCAGTGATACAGTTGGTGCAAGAACATATTGCTGGCACATGTCTGGCCATCCACCAGCACTCCCAAGTCCTTTTTGGCAGGGCTGTGCCCAATCCTTTTGTCCCCCAGCTTGTATAGGTAGTGGCGGTTGCTGTAATGCCCCGCTCTTGGATTTGTTGAAACCTCATGAGATTCTCCTGGACCCACTGTTCAAGCCTGTCTAGGTCCCTCTTGTTAGTATCCTATCCTTCGGTTGTGTCATCTGCACCCCACAGCTACAGCTTGGTGTCATTCACAAACTTGCCTGGGTGCTCTTTACTCCACTGCCATTGATGACACACTGTCATTGGTGAAGATTTTAGTGTATTAGTCCTGGCACTGACCTCTGGGGGACACCACCTGTCACTGTTCTCCATCCAGACATTGAATCATTGACCACCATTCTCTGGATTTGATCCGGCAGCCAGTTCTTTGTACATCAAACAATCCACCATCGAATTATTATCTTGCCAATTTGGAGAGAAGGATGTTGTAGAAAGTCTTACTTTTGGAGCTAGCCAGTAGTATTAGGATTTAATCTGGAATTTCAAATAACTGTACCCCTCAATAGTTTTCACTTCCCTTGTCTTCTAGTCTATGCTGCACATTCAAAGCTTTGTTTGCTCTTCTGCTTTGTATGGCTAGTTTATGCTGCCTGTGTTTGGCATAGAAAGTTCAGAGACAACCTTCATGGTCTGTTCCTTTGCTCTCTTAGTCTTAAATAAAATATAGCAGTGACAGTGACAAATGTTTGGTGGCTCTGTTCACTGGCCGAAGAATAAACCAACATCAGATGCTTCAATGGGTCACACAGCTATATTTTTCATACTACTGCAGCAAATAGCCCAAATTTTAGGAGGTTCATAGGAACAACTTTTGTAATGAAAATAGCTACTGGCGTGAGTTTGCTTATATCTTATTCTGGCTCTTTACTAATGCTAAGATGGAAAATAATAAAACGGACTGTATTAAGGCAACCATTCATATTTAAGACAAATAGTTTTTAACCTTGTACAGTTCTGACACTTGCATAGCTTTTATGGAATTATTACTGTATTTACGTGTTATTATAGTCATGCTTATGAAAGTTGTTCACTGTGGTTTAACTCAGCAAGCAGTGAAGCATCATGCAGTTGTTGACTCACTCCTCAGAGGGATAACAAGTAGAATCTGAAAAAAAGGTAAAATTCAGTGACTGAGATTAAGACCTTTTATGAAGACAGAAAAGGAAGAGGAAATAGTAATGATGAGAAAAAAAAATATATGTGAAGCAAATTGTCCTGGTTTTATAATTTTGTTATCAGTATTCCACATCATAACATCATGTAAAGCACGGAGAATTAAAGAGTTAATACTCCAATTCCATGGAATGACAACCTTCCGGATACCTGGTCCTCAGAACACAAAAAAGAACTACATATCCCAACAAACTTCATGTTCAGAGAGGAAGATAAGTCACAGGAAGAACTCACAGATCTCTTTCTCGCTGCCTGTGTGAGTGTTCTCCCCAGCTGTTATGCCTTCATTTCAAAGTAGTGCTTTCAGTTTCGGATGCTCTCTCTCATTGTACTTGATTTATTTGCCTCAATTCCGATTATATTGTACTATACTGTGTTATTTTGCATTACGATATCGTATTTAAATTTAGCTTCCTCCTTAGATCGTTGCTGCTGTTCTGTTTTTGGGCCATCTTGTATCTCTCTACCCTTCCCCTTTTTCCTTCCCATTTTTGGGCTGGGGGTCCTGCCGGCCTCCTGCTCCATTTCACGGGCGCAGATTGATCTAGATAACTCTGTGATGCTAATAAAGACTCTTTAGTGATGTTGTTCAGCTTGGGCCCACCATGTCTTGTGTAGCTTTGGACTTGCATGCTGTTTTCTGTAGCTGTATTACCAAAAGGAGATCAGTTGCTCATTCTCTTGGGTCTGAAGGAGCATTTTAATTAGGTCTTTGATGTTGTTTGCATCCAGCCAGTTGTGCTTTGCAACACAGCAATAAATCATATGAAGAAACCAAAGAGATCTGGACATCAAATTTCTGAGGTCTGAACAAGATTTTGTAGCACAGTGAAGCTCTGTCTGTAAATGTCAGGCTTTAGCTTCTGGCAGAAGTTCATTTCCTAATAGTTTACCATATCTGTAAAAGAGTAAAACAATTACGAATAAGACTTTCATGGTCAAGTATCCTTCCACAGAGAGTAGATTGTTACTTATGAAACAGATAAGATTTTTTTTCTTCACTGCCTAGAGCTGATGGGAATGTCACCACAAAAAGTATGAGTAAAGAAGAATGAAAAGGAAAGAAATATTCCTTTGATGAAGATGGATTGTGACAATTTCAGCCCTTTTATGAGTATAGAGAGATGATGAAATGATTTCCTTTTTGTTGTCAGTAAAACGTTCTGATATAACAGCCTTTTGATTCAGTTTACTACTTTCTAAACGGTTAAAATGCATTAGGACAAAATGTGAGAGGACATCTGGAAAGATTGTAGGAAGTATTTCCGGGTGCTGCACAGCTCTAGGAAAAACCTAGAAAGTAAAAATGAACAAGAAATCTATAATTCTGCTTTAATGCAACTAATTTGCTATGGTTAATTCTGTATCCTCAGCTTTCTTCTTGATGTTCCACACCATTTCACAAATGTGGGGGGCAAGGGGTGGGTGGGGAGAGGTGAAGAAAATCAACAAGAAAATACTTGTGCAAATTCCATTTCTACCTGACAGTATTGCCCAGATGAAACATTTCAGGAAAAAATATCAGCAGTTAGCTTGGTAGATTTTCCGCTAGGCAGTGGCCAGCTTTAGGCTACTGTGAGCATGATGCCCAGACAGTCAGCACTGTGTTGTTCTGAGGAAGCTGTGAAGCTGAAGTCAGTGTATGTATATGAAGCAATTAAACCCATATTTAAAACATCACTGGACCATATTTATTGAAATTCAGATGATTTTATCTTTTGAAAAATGTATTAGCCTGGTCAGTGGGCAGATTTCCGTACAATTAAAGTAACTTTCTTATTTGTTGTCATTTATTTCTGCTACTTTACTTCTGCTGTTTAAACCTGTCTACTATTTTCTCTTTTCCTCTTTAATCTGAATTTTACAAAGATGACAGAAAACTCTCAATATTTGGAGAACTCATAATTTCCTTTTCGACAGCATCTACATCCTTTAGGCTTATTTTCATAATTACACTGTCATACATACAGATCTATCCCTCCAAGACATCATCTGAACAATTAATGTTCTTAATAACACCTGAACGACAAGAATGTTGTATCTTTTCATGTATGGCTGTGCTTGTGATAAAAGGGGCAATGTGCTATCTGTTCCAGAGTCCTGACGTAAATGTAATTATGATTCAACTCTTTTTGTAACACTGCTGGTTTCTGATAGATATCTGATTTCACCTTATAAAAGATTGTAAGTTGACAAAATTTTTTTTTTTTTTTTAAATTTTCTTTTTCTTTTTTGCTGGCTAGCTGTCATGGAGTTAACTAGATCAATTCACGCCTGTGACAGGGGGGCAATTAGGACCCTGCCCTGCTCCAACCCCCACACCTCCCCCTGATCTCACAAAATGGGAAGGAAGGAAAAAAAACAGCGGCAACGGTCTATGGAGGAAAACTTATTTTACTAACTATGATATCAGAATGCAAGATTACACAATATAATAAAATCTAATTGAAATTGAGACTAATAAATCAAATAAGATAGGAGAGAGAGTTCCTGAGACCGAGTTAGGGGAAGGGAAGGGCCAGATCCCATGACTTCAGTAACCTAGAGGGATAGGTACCTGAAATTGGAGCATTAACACTTTAACTCTCAGTGCACTACATGATGTTATGATGTGGAATACTGAAAACCAAAAATCATAAAACCATGACACCAGCATACCAGTCTGTTCTCTGGCTCGTGCATCAGTTAAATTATTTACTTATTTTTCCCTGTTATTTTTTTAAATTTAGTTTAGAATTTAAACTTAATAAAAACCAGAAGAGAATAAACATTCCAGACACCATGGTATACTTGCCAAAAATGTTTTTTTTTCCTGAAGTTTGCTGTGCTCAGATGCGGTTGTGTGTGATTTTCTTGC